GCCTCCCCTGTGTGTTCCAATACGTCCTCCTTCAGATGTACTAATATGTGGATCTCTCAGGCATGAAGTATGTTGAACAGAGGAATATTGGGGGCGGGGGCAGTTATAAATGTCCAAATTGTTGTAGATTTAGGGGAAGAAACACAGGGTTCTACTCACTCCACCATGATGCCCTGCTTTTTATTTTTATCAGTTAATGAATAGCTTCCGGGAAATTATATCCTCGCTAAGATATTTTAACAGTTTAAAATAAGAAGTAATTAACCCAGAAAGCTTCTGATTTGCTTTCAAATACAAAATCAAAAATATCAAATGGGTTCTAAAAATGTTCAGCATATTTTTCTCCCACATTCTTAATATAGGGAATATCATCAGTCTTTTCAAAAAATTTTTCAAAACTTTCTTTATAAAAGCCTCAATAATGGCTGCATGGCCACACTTGGTCTTAACTCTATTAAAGTTTATATCATGATGTAGCTAAAACAAGGATGCAAAGAATCACTGTAAATATAATTTTAGAAAAAAAATACATACATCATAGACAGGATTTAATTTTTTAATTGTTTCCATTGTATGTTCACTACAAAAGTGGCTAAATGTGTATAGTAGTGTGTGTGTATGTGTGTGTGTGTGTGTGTGTGTGTGTGTGAGAGAGAGAGAGAGAGAGAGAGAGAGAGAGAGAGAGAGAGAGAGAGAGGAGAAACTGGAACATATTCACATATATAGAATGTTACACTTAACTACACTCTCTAGGGTCATGAAAACATTACTAAAATTGGTCATATACTGGCCTGTGTAGCTTAATCCAATATATTTCCAAGAATTCAAAGCAAATAGAGAACATTATTTGAACAAGCTGGATTTGAGCTTTTATATTTTATAATCTAAAAAAAAAACAAAAAACAGAAAATGCCTGTATATTTGTAAGTTTGTAATACAATTCTGAATAATTCTTTGACCAAAGGAGAAAAAATCACAAAAGAAACTAGAACATAAGTTGAACAGATAACAATGAAAAATAGTACTTGTTAAGCATAGCTAAATTAATTGCTAGAAGGAAATTTGCAATCTTAATAGCATATTTTAGATTAAAAACCTTAGAACAGAAGAGTCAATTAAGCCCAAAGATGTTAAAGGAAGAAAATCATAAAGATAAGAGCAGAAGTTAATGGAGTATAACACAGATAGAGAATTATGACTATCAACAGTGGCAAAAGTGTGTTCTTTGAAAGGTACTATTCCCTGCCAGGATTTATCTACAAAACAAACTGCAAAAAAGACACAAATAGTCAATATCACAAGAAAGACAGAGATTTAGATTCCCAATGCCAGTAAAAATATGAGGAAATTATGAAATACCATGTGCCATTAATTTTGAAAATATAGAATAAATGAAAAAAAATTCTAGAAAAAATAGTTTAACAAAATGGACATGATAATACATATATTAAATATATTGAACCCATATTTAATAACTTTCTCAAAGAAAATTCTAAGCCCGGGTGGCTGGACTAGTAAATTCAACCATATAAGAAAGGTAGATATAACAATAGTATTACATAAATTTGCTTACAGACTACAGCAACAGCCTAATCATGATACTAAAAACCAGTGAACATAATTCATCACAAATGAAAGGGAATAAAAAGAAAATTATATTTGATAATCTCAACCAAAAATCTGAACAAAGAGGATTAACTCTACAAATATCTTTACTTTTTATAAAGTATCAGTATTTCAGTGTGATATTGGTGCAAGGGTATCAATATGGGCAAAAAAATGAAAAGAGAGCCCAGAAACACAGACACACACACACGCACATGCACACACACACACACACACACACACACTCACACATTAACACATATGTATAGCCAAAACAATCTTGAGGGGGAAAAAACCAAGTAGGAGAACTTACAACATTGGGTATCAAATACTATGTTTTTAGAGTAAGTTTTACGACAGTGATGTATTTGTACAAAGGTAGAAAAATTGACCAATGGAACAAAATAGAGAGTCTGGAAACAGACTCACATGTATACAGACATGATTTATGATGGAAGAGATATTGCAGTACAATGAAGAATGGACAGTTGTTTACCACTCATGTCACTGAGTCCATTGGACTTTCATAAGGACAAAATGCATTCATAACTGTGACTGTATAAAAAAAATCAGTCCCAAGTGGACTGAAGAGCTAAATGTCAGTAGTAAAATAATATTTTAAAAAATATGATAGAAAAGGACCAACAACAAACATTAATTATTAATGAAAGATAGACCAATTGCTGTACATTAAAATTAAGAACTTATAATCATTAAAAGACATGCTCAAGAAATTTAAAAAGTAGAGCCTTTGAGATTTTGCTCCCCATCATATACTGTCAGTTTGGCTCAGATAAACTCATAAAAATTCTCAAAAATAAATAAATAAAAAGAAAGTACAAATGTAAGATCCTGAAAAGAAAAATAAAATGTTTGTATCAGGTTTAAGCAACAGAGCATATATCCCAAATATAGATATCTCTAAATATTTGTTAAATTCCCAACAAGAATGGATATGTGAGCCCGCAAATTATGCACAAGCATGTTTATAACAGCTATATTCTTAATAGCACCAAAATACACACCAACATAGAGTAGATAATTTGTAAAATATCAATATAATGAAGTATCTTGAAAATGAACAAACAACTATTAAATTCAATAACAAAGATGAACATTTAAAACATAATGTTGAATTAAGATGGAGGGGGTGTGAAAATGAATGTTTGTGTTGCCAGTAATTTCACAGACTCTTGCTAGTAATTTCTACCTTTTGACATAGGTAGTGATTATTTGAGTATATTCCCACTATGGTGTTTCATAGAGATTTACCTTTTACCTTTTTCATCATGCATGTTATTATTTAATTGAAACTTTATGTAAATATTTAGAAGGGAGAATGTCACATATGATATAGAATGAATTTGACAAGTGAATGTTATGTTTTATTTTTTACATGCTTTACATCTTGATATGATTTATATTACAACAACTAATTACTCATTGAAATATTACTATTTGCAACCTAAAGATATATTGTACACTAAATACAGTAGTCCCACCTTACCCCCAGGGAATATATTCCAATATCCTAGTAGATGACTAAAAGCACAGATAGTATCAAACCCTATATATATATATTATATTTTTTCCTATGCATACGAGGTATGATCAAATAATGCAGTGAATGTTTAAATGGAAAAAAAAAATGTATTACAGTAAAAGATACATTGCCATTAATCCTCCTCAAAATACTCCCCCTTGCTTCGAACACACTTATTCCATCATTCTTGCCACTTTCTGAAGCATTTCTGGAAGTCCTCTTTCATGTCTTTAGTCACGCTGTCATGGCTGCCTTGATGTCCTGAATTCTTTGACTTAAGGGAAGAGCAGAAGTCACACGGTGCAAGATGCAGTGAATAAGGTGGATGAAAACACACCATAATGTTTTTATTTGATAGAAATTGCCATATACTAGAAGAGATGTGTGACACAAAGTGTTGTCATGATGGAGGATGATTTACAGCACACTTTCAAACACACCTTCTCTCAACCATAGCTCACACCCAACTGACTGCGCCAAACAAGTTGAAAATTGTCACACTGTTACTAAGGTTTAATGCACTGATTCCCATATTGAAGATCCCTGCCTTTTCATTGAATGGCACTTAGCAGAGACATTCACCGTATATTTGATCACAACGGAAAAGTTCCATGTCACACATCGCTTTTGATACAGCAATTGCTGTCAAATAAAAACATTAAGGTGTGTCCTCATCCACCTTATTCACTGGATCTGGCACCCTGAGACTTCTGTCTCTTCCCCAAAGTCGAAATGAACATGAAAGGTAAAAGTTTTGAATAGATTCAGGACATCGAAGCAGCCACGACAGTGCAACTAAAGACACTCATGAAAGAGGACTTCCAGAACTGCTTCAGAAAGTGCTAAGAATGATGGGATAAGTGTTTTTGAATCAAGGGGGAGTATTTTGAGGGGGATTAATGGCAATGTGTTTTTTACTGTAATATTTTTTTATTTAAACATTCACCATATGTTTTGATCACACCTCATACCTATGATAAAGTTTAATTTATAAATTAGGCACTGTAAGAGATGAACAATAATGAATAATAATAAAATAGAATAATTATAACAGTATACTGTAACAAAGGTTATTTGAATGTGGTCTCAAAATATCTCCTTGTGATGATACAGTGCCTATGTGATGAGACGAAGAGAGGTGAATGACATAGGTATTATGATTTAGTGTTAGGTTACTATATGGGTTACTTGAACAAGTACCAATCCGAAACAGTTGATCTGAAAACCAAGATGGCTACTAAGTGACTAATGGGCAGGTAGCATATACAGCATCGATACCCTGGACAAAGGGATGATTCATGTCCCTGCAGGACGGAGAATAACAATGCAAGATTTCATGAAGCTACTCAGAACGCCCCACAATTTAAAACTTAGGAATTGTTTATTTCTGGAATTTTCCATTTAATATTTTGGGACCGTATTTAACCTCAGCTAACTAAAACCATGGAAAGTGAAACTGCTGAAAAGGAGTCAGTAGCATAACCGTATTTAAACCTGACACTTTTCAATGTTTTTCACTTACACAGAAAATTTAACAATGTAAAAACTCAAATAGAATATTATACTCTAACATCATTTTAGTCACTGTTGAGAGATCTGTTTATTTTCAGGATTTAATTTATTAAGTGATTGCTGCAATTTGTTGTTTTGTCAAAATTTAACTTTGTATTTATGTACTTAAAGCATTAAGGGTTTCTAATTTAGAACAGACTAATCTACTTCTGGCTTTGTTTTATGGTTAGATAATCTGTTTACTTAAATCTTTCTTCTTTTGTTAATAGCTTAATTAATTGGTCAGACAAATGTTTACACAACACATACTAAAACCATAAATTTTCTTAAATGGTTGCAGGCAAGAATTGGATCCATGTAAAGCTGAGCTGACTATTCTAGGTAGGACTACAAAAACAACTGAATCTATCAATCGTGTATCTGGAAAAACCCTGCCAGAATCAGGGACTGTCTTTATCGGTGGATTTCCAAGTCTTCATGGAGCAAACCAGGTATTTATGTTGATGTTTTTAAATACATTTATTATGTCATTTTATGAAGAAAAGAGATACAAAAACTTTGGAGAAGTTTCTTCGTTAGTGGGGCCATCTACATGGTTTCAAAAAGAAATTTTAAGCAGTTCTGCTTACACTAATTAATCCCACCAAAGTACACTAAAAGTTTACCATTCCCATTATATAGAATTGCTCCAGTATCAGGCAGTTTTTCCATTTTGTGGCTAAATATGTGTGTTGCATTTCATGTTAATATTAAGCATGTGGGCTTTTGTTCACCCCCATGCTAGTGATTTTGATGAATATATGAGAGGGTTGGCCTAATTACATACAAAAATATGATTCAAGAAATGAAACTGGAAGACCATTCCCAGTCTCTGCTTCACACAAAGTTACTACAATGTAAGAACAGAGTTTTGTTTGTATGCCAACCCATCCTCTAAATTTCCATTTAGATAATTAGCCTATTATCTTTATTATTAACCTATATCTTAAAAGCATGCATGCTGGCTTAAATATTATTGATTATTTGGCTCCATTTTATCTTATTATAGATAATTCTTTTTAAAATATAAAGTTGCTTAAGTGTACCAATAGTTTAATACATTTATGAGTCTTTTACTGTATTTTTTATTATACTTTACATATTTGAGCATACTATTTTTATGTTATTGGTGATATAAATGCTATTATTTCAGTCTCACAGGTAAAATAAGTTGAATATAAATCTACTCATTATATTATAAATATTAAGTAAGCTAAAAAATTTCAAAGCAAATATACATAAAGAACAAAAGTCGCTCGCATAGTTGATGTGACACATATGCCTTTAATAAGATAAGGAAATTCTGTATCTTAAGCATGAAGAATTTAGATTCAGTTTTACTCCGTTAGCATTATATTGATTAATCATTAAACAGACTTTTGTGGCTTTTTCTATAATATTAATGTACGACTTTTTTCTAGTTAAACCAGCCTATACGAGCTCTTTCAGAGTAGAAAATATCTGGTTTGTTTACCTTTCTGTATCCCTAAGGTAAGGACAGTTTCTGTCAAATAGTAGGTGCTCAAGAAACACCTTGTATGTGAATGGTCAATTCAAGAATGAAGGAAAAGTTTTCAAGAATTTACATAAATTAATCTTTAGTCATTTACATTTGGATCGTTCTCCCATAGCATAACTATTTATATATTTCCCAAGTAAAAGGTGGGTTTTTCATATATAATTTTTGTGAGTATACATTAGTTCAGTACAAGTTCTCAAGGAGCTGGGCCGGCCAAGTGGCTCAGTTGGTTAAGAGCCCGCTCAAGAGTGTGAGCTCTGAGCAACAGCCATTCGAGTCCTGCCCAAGCTGAGCTGCTGCTGAGCTGCCAACAGTTGGCAGGATGGCTCAGCTAAAAAAAAAAAAAAAAAAAAGTGTATACAAGTTCTCAAGGAGCTAAAATTCTATTGAGGAGATATACAAATATCTCTAATGCAGTTAAGTATTTATTCTAATAGAAATATGAACAATATACAGAGGCAACATAGAAAAACAGGACAGGAAGCCCCTGGTCTCCCTGTGGGAGTTTGTAGTTAGGCAGAGACCTGAGGGATGACCAAGTGTCTGTCTGGTAAATAATATGCAGACTGTCATCCCAGGGAGTTGAAACATCACTCACACACACACAGGCTTAGGTAATGGGAAGGCCTAGGAGAAGAGGAGTGGCAGTAGAAACAAAGTATTATTGTGGAGCCTTGGAGTTGGATGTGAACTCAGCAGGAGGAAAACTTGATGTTGAGAAAGTAAACAGGAACCCGAGAATAATAAATCCTGTATAAAATACAAAATAGTATATATTTATATTCTGGTGCCTGGAGGAGCCATTGTAGAAGTTTGAACAAGGAATGATATTATGTAGTTTTCACCTTGATAAGAGCTGAAGTATAGGATTGGAGGGGTTTAGGCTGCAGGTGAAGAATTGGTCAAGTTAGATATTAGCAATAATTAAATACGAAATGATGTTGTGGCAATAAGAGTGAGAAGATGACTATGAAATAAATCAAGCTTGTGAATAATTATAAGTAAGAAAATAGAAAAATTTGGAATTTGAATGACCAGATTGGCTTATATAAGTAGAGAATATATGCTATCTTACTTAAGATGGAGATCACAAAATTATTTGCAGAAAAAAAGGGCAGGCTCATTTTTGCATTTGAGTTCCCTTTCAGCATAGATAATTTTGAAATATTTAACAGCTGGCTTTCCATCACCACTAATACATCAGTCCGTTATATCAGTCCATTTTTGTTGCCTACCATTTTATCAATGGGATATTGTGATATAGAGTAAGTCATTTGAAATGTGGGCCTTGAGTTCACAAGAGATATTGACTATATGGCTGTGAGAGACTTTATACAGGTGATAGTAGAAGCCACAGTCATTGATTGGATTGACTTTGTAGAAAGAGAAGAGAGAGAGCTAAGGATTGGGAATCAGCAATCAAGCAGTGGGCTAAAGAAGAGGTGCCCACAGAAGTAGTTAAGGAGTAGAGAGATTGGCTATAAACAAGGGAAAAATTGTTGTCACAGAAAACAAAGATGGAGGAAGTTCCCCAACAGAGCGTATGTTCAAAGCCAAAGCTACAAAATGTCATCCAGCAATTTCAGGAGAACAATAAGAACAGAAAACAAATTGTAATATTTTGAGTAAGAATAAATGTAGCAGAAGAAACAACAGAGTGATTTTAGGTTATTTTCCTAGAAGCTTATTAAAAAGAGAAAGATGTTACCTAGGGGAGGACAGAAGGTTAGAGTTGCAGAGATATATAATACTAATTGACTATATTCAACAGACTTTTCCTCCCAAAATCTATTTGAAAGGGTTGGCATTTAGTAATGGATTATCTCACTAAGAACCTGATATCCGCCCTGTGATGTACAGCAACCGGACATGTATTGCAATCAGATTTAGAGTAAATTCAGTGTGCAGACAGGAGAAGTAACCTTGAAATTAAAAGGACAGCCAACTAAGTGGGTTTCCCCTCCTTGTTAAATATGCTGTATTTAAAGGATTTTATGTCAGCCCCTTATTGATTTCTTATTCTTTTCTTATGCTATCATCGTGTCATAATAGCTGTGTGTGTGCAAGTGTGTGCATGTATGTAACATATATTGATATGCACTAAATGATTGATACAAGCAAATTATAACATATATCCAAATGATAATACTTAAAGAGAAATCATATGATAAGACAGAAAAGAAAGAAAACACAACTTTGTGGACTTGTTTCTGTGCAGTGAAGCCCCACTGAATATCTACTTGTAAATATCACACAGGCTGTAACTATCTAATTATTGTGTTCTGATTAAGAGCTGCTGTTTAAGCACAGCAGGTTGTCAGTGCTCAGAAAATTAAAAACAACAGGTTTGCAGTATAAAACACCCTAAGAAAGAGAACTATAGTTGATTCCTTGAGCCAATATAAATGCTAAGTTACAATTATTCTCTTGACTCTAAGTTTCCAATAATGTCTTTCTGTACTGGCCAGAGCCCCTCCACATGATAAAAGTTCCGAATCTAATGCATATGTGCTGACAGGTTGTTTAGTGCTTCCTTTCACAAAAACACACAGAGCTCAGTATGTGAGGAGAGAAGAAAACAGTTAGACACTTTCAATCTTGTACTTGAAGTGTGAAAAACTCTGCATCCCCTGATGACCGTATGACAATAGCTTCCAAGGTCCGAGAGTAAATGCCTTTTCTCTGGTGGTAGGAAAACACTTTCCTTGGTAGTGTTTTAATTGCTTACACTTCTCAATGCATGCATTCCTGCTTTGGGGTCCAAGTTGCTTAAGGACACCAACCCTTAGTCCCTAATAAATTCCAACCAAGTTACAATGATACCACCTATTTGCTTTATAAAAGGAAATAAAATAATTATGAAAATAAATATTGTTAATTCATTACTAGATCTTTTTCTTTCTACAGAAGTTGATAACATAAAATGTATTCTAGAAAGATGCTAGTTTTTTTCACGTTCAAGTCAATCATGAATATTCAAAACAGAATATACAATGAAAATATACATACAAATAAAAATGGCATCTATTTTATATAGGACTGAAATTTTTGAAGAATTGAGTACTGATTTAGTCCATTTGGGCTGCTATAACAAAAATGCCATAGACTGGATGCTTTAACAAACATTTAGTTTTCACAGTTAAGGAGGCTAGGAAGTCTGAGATCAAAGTGCCAGTAGATTGGAATCTGGTGAGGGCTCCTTTCCTGCTTCATAAACAGCTGTCTTCTAGCTGTGTCTTCACATTGGCATGAGGAGCAAAAGAGTTATCTGAGGTATTTCTTAAAAGAGTACTATTCCATTCATTAGGGCTCTACCTTCATTACCTAAATGCCTTTCAAAGGCTCCTAACCTTCTAACACCAAACATATTGAGGGTTAGGATTTCAACACATAAATTTTAAGGGACCCACATATTCAGACCATAGTATGATAGTTGTTTAGATACTTGTTAGCGGAGGAAATGAAGTCAGAATTTTTTCATGATGAATTTGCTTAATAGACAAACTTTCAATATGTGACAGTAAAGTAGGCAGAGGAGAAAAAACACAGCCAGTAAAATGTAACCTCATAGAAGGCAAAAGAAGAACAAGTTTCAAGGAAGAAGCGCCGCTCAACATTGCTTAACTCAGATCTAGTTACAAGGACTGAAAAGCATCCCCTGGTTTTTGTGACATAAAAATCGTTGGTAAAATTAACAGAGAAATGACTGCTTCTGTTTAAGCTCATGATGGTGAATGAAGGGGTACCATCAGTATTCTGTTAAGAACCAATGTTTTCACTTAGCAAAAGGAGGAAAATCTAGCTGGACATTGGATTCCTATAACAACCATGAAAATTCCAACTGCAGAGTGACAGTGTAGTGTTTGTTTTTTTAATTTTTATTGAAAATCCATTTAGTATCACCTATAGAGTTGAAGATGCGAATATCCTAAA